AAAAGGTATGGAGACAGAATACATCCCTACAGACCCCCTTCTTGATTTTGTATATGTAGTGTATCTCTTAGCTCTGTTCTGACGGCTGCCTCTTGGTCCAAGTATAGGTTTCGCATTAGCACGATCAAATTTTCTGGGATTCCCATTCTTCTCAGAGTCAGCCATAGCTTCTTGTGATCCACACAGTCAAAAGTCTCTGCATAGTCAATGAAGCACAGATAGACATTCTTCTTGTATTCTCTGCTTTCTGCCAAGATCCATCAATTTAGCTATATCAACATTACTATAATATCCCTAGTACCAGGACCTCTTCTAAATCCAGCATGCACATCTGGCAGTTGTCTGTTGATATACTGTTCCAAACGTTTTTGGATAATTTTCAGCAGAATCTTGCTTACATGTGATATTAATGATATTGTTCGATAATTTCTGCACTCTGTTGGGTCACCTTTCTTTGGAATGGGTACAAATATCGATCTTTTCCAGTCAGTGGACCCGCTGGCTGTCCTCCAAATTTCTTGGCACAACATAGTGAGCACATCCAGGTCAGTGTCTGTTGAAATATGTTAATTGGTATGCTATCAACTGCTGGAGCCTTGTTTTTTACCAATTCCTTCAGAGCAACTTGAACTTCCTCCTTCATCACCATGTTGTTGTTGTTGTTATGTGCCGTCGAGTCGTTTTTGACTCATAGCGACCCCATGCACAACAGCCGTAAACCCTGTTCTGTCCTGCGCCAACCACACTGCCTCCAACACACCCATCCCGATTACCCCAGTCACCGAATCAATACATCTCATAGAGGGTCTTCCCCTCCTGCGCTGTCCCTCCACCCTCCCAAGCATGATGTCCCTCTCCAAGGACCCGTCCCTCCTGGCAACATCCAAAGTATGTCAGACGAAGCCCAGGAGCAGCCTGGTTTAATCTTCTCCAAGATGAATGTGTTTGTTTTCCTGGCAGTCCATGCTACATTCAGTACTCTTCTCCAGCACCACAGCTCAAAAGCATCCACTCTCCTTCTGTCCTCCCTAGTCACTGTTCAAGTCTCTGAGGCATAACAAGCGATTGCAAACACCATGGCCTGTATCAGGCACACCTTAGTCTCCAGAGAGACACCGTTGCTCCTGAGTACTTTAGAGAGGTCCCTAACAGCAGACTTCCCCATCGCGATAT